GGATGCGAGCGGCATAAGAATCAAATCGCGATTCACGACATATTTTAGCGACACAAATGGTCACATTGTTATAAAAATTGAAAATAAATATGATTGGGTGATATATGTCGAAAAAATATGGCTATTTTATTGAATAACTATTTCTACAAAAATTGATTCATGATAATCGGATTTTGCGTGTGTGAGTGAAGTGTGATTTGAACCACAAAGCCCAAATATATAAGCCCATTAAATGATACCTACCAATAAATGAAAACATTTTTTTTTGAAGGAGTAAATTTTTTATAACTTCTTACTATTTATGTTTTTATAAATAAGCATCTTAAATATTACTAAAAGAGAAACTTTATTGATTGTATTTCAATTTTATTTTTTCCACACTTAGATCAAATTGTTGATATCATCTTCCCCATATGGAATGTATTTAATTTCAATAAATGTTTCCAATCATCAATCAATAACTTACATTCGTTGAAATGAAATGTATTTTAATTCTAATAAAAGATTTCCATATTTTACATCTTGAATTTTCAGTTATGAAGATTTTAATATGATCAATTTTAAAAATATATTACTAACAAATCATTTCAATCAAAGCCTTAATATCAACCATTAATATAAATAAAATCTTTTTTTATTAGGAAATCATTAATACCGAAAAATCATTTTCAAATTATCACATACATATACGATTCATCATTGAATCCGCGACTCACATTTATTTTCAATTGTTTCTTTTCTTCAAACATTTTCCTACAACATCGTTAATATTGCTTGTAACTTCCATCATCATTCTCTGCTATCAACATTCGCTCTTGTGCGCTAGAAGGTCAGTACCTTCTTTCGCTTTTTATATTTTTTTCGATCATTTTTTGTTCCTATATATGTATTCATATATTTCGATTTTTTTTGTCACAAATTACATGAAATCAGTTAACTACTTTTCTGAAACTTTTCAAATAAACATGAAAAGGTATTATGTATCTTTAACAAAACAAAAATTAACTATCCTGGGAACTGACATTAATTACGAAAATGTTACTTTTATATATTAGAGATGATTATGATTTTTTTTAAAAATTTTTATGTCATAAGAATCCGGTTAATTTTGGCATGATTTTAAAATATCATTGAAATTATTATGTTTTTATATATCATATCAACCTACTTTTTTATCTTCGTATAGTAACAATAAAATTTATTAATTTACACAACAAATATAGATATTTCAAATTTTGTAATATTATTATACCTTACAAAATACAACTCCTTCCAAAATAAATTTTCGTCAGTAATTTCATCTATAATTTCAACAAATTTAAATTTGTATTTTCTTTATATAATTTTTTTTTAATGATCCTATTTTTTTCTCCAAAAGTATATCAAACATTTACGTTTTAGATAATGCTACCCTATTATAATTATTATTTTCCAAAAGTATATCCGTTTAATGAGGAATTTGATATAATAAAGGAAGTGAATGTTAATTAAAATGATATATATATTCCATAATTATTACATGAGTTTATTAAAAAAAAATTAATATCAAGGTGTAAACATTAAACATTTTTAAAGTGAAATTTCAGAATACATACAAACAATAATGTTGTACAATGAAATATAAAATTGAATATACTGGAAAAAAAACACTATTAGAGCAGTCAATCTTGAAAATAACATAGTTATGGAAAATTATAAAGTAAGATTAAAATTATAAGATATTAGGAGATTTGTAAAAAGTACATTTAGTAAAAGCGTTACGGTTATTAGAAAAAATAAGACCGTTAAGATTAGTGAAAATACAATATATAAACTAAATTATCACAATAGTAATGAAATGTCATTATTTGATATTTCATATAATTGACAGATATATCAAATTAAATTGATATACTAAAATTATTCAAAGTTGCGCCAAAACTAATGCAAAATTTTTACGAACACTAAATAAATAAGAACAAACATAAAAGCTAGCATTTATATTTATAATCAATTTAAAATATACCAATCATGATTTAGAAAAGAATCTTCATTGATGATATACTAAAATTAAATCTATATAACATTTAACATTTTATAAATTATATTACATAACTTTATTTGAATAAATGAAATAGTTGTTAATATTTAATGCAATAGAAAAAACGGTATATTGATTGTTAATATATGTTTAAATTATGTAACATTATTATGCAATGAACGTCTAATTAAAATGCTTATAAATATATAAATATCATAACTATATAAGACGAGGAAAATCGTTCAACTAATAAAACAAAAAATGATGTCTACAAAGAGATCTTTCAATGATTATATATATTTATCGTTTTCAATGTATTTTCTACATATTTCGATAATACCAATAACCATATATTTTTTTATAATCATTATACAATATCTATAAACGATTATATGTTTTTTTATGTGTTTCCCGCGTTTAACGCGGGCTATAATCTAGTTTATTGTCATTTGAGTCTTTAATATATATCGAGTGGAAAATATACTTCTACCGTTTGTCATTCATCACCCTTATACTTTAGTTATATTTCCATTTAACCACTTAAATATATTATAGTTTTAAATATTTTTTATTTTTATAATAAATATTTATTTATATTAAATATTTCATAACATTTCGTTTATAAAGTATAAAATTATAATGACTATTGAACTTTTTTCAATCTTTTTTATGAATTTTTCAGAATAGTTTTTTGTATTAGTTTTTTCGAACGGTATTTTGTAATATATTTCTTTTGAAACAACATATTGTAATATTTTTATAAATTAAAATATAATGTGTGTTTAAAAAACAAATAATTAAATAAGGGGGTTTTATAGAACATTTTAGATATGTATGTGTAAATTAGTTAACTATTAATAATAATAAAAAAGCTATAAGAAGATGTTAATAATTGGAGAGATTATTTAATTAGAGGTTAAAGTTTTTAGAATTATGATGTGACAATAGTTTTAAATCTTACTATAGCTTAATCATTGGAGATGCTCTAATGACTTAGGTGATGCCGTTCTTTTTTTAAAAAAATTATTTGAGATTTTTTTTTTGTTACGTATCACAGGCAAGTAACAATTTTCATCTCACAACTGTTTGTTTTTTAGAAGTCTTCTGAGAAATTTTTTTGACGTGTGTTCTGTTTAGGACAGTAACTGTATTCTCTTTCTTTTTTTGATGAATCTTTGTTATATATTGTTGAAATCTTGTAGAATTCTTGTTCCGCCTTATTTTGTTTTGTTTTATTTTAACTATTGCTAAATTAATTTTGTTCATTTTTTTATATTGAATAATGATAATTTATTGCTGAAATGTCATACAATATTAAGTTTTCGGTATTAAAAAACTATTTTTCTTATATAAAACCAATTTATTATTTTTTTAATATCTGCAGCGGTATGCATAGGTTAAAAAACACAAACACGTTTTTTATTACATTCTTCATCCGTTTGATCCATATTTTCTACTGCAAAGGATTACAAAGAAGATCCACAAACTCCATAAATTTTTATTTCACAAAAAAAAAAAAAAAAAAAAAAAAAAAAAAAAAAAAAAAAAACACCTTACCTTAATTGTGTCTATACCATCCACTTTTATGTTGCAATAATTTATAGTTTCTTTTAGACAATTGATAGTTTGATACCTCTACTATAGTACTGTTGAGTGTTGATCCCGATAGTTAGGTTTAAAATATGATATTGATGTAACTTGGTACGCGTTTTCTTTCCTTTTCTCTAGTCGTTCTCTTTTAAAATATCTTCGGTCGTTACTAAAGCACCGACATTAGAAAACATACAAATCAATAAATTATAAAAATATTAAATTATATCATTTTTTAATTCATATCATTTCGTCTAAAATCTAATAAATACTTTATTTTCTGCAGGGATGTATTTATTCTGCGAAATCAGAAAGATGTGCATGTATCGTCCGATAGTGGAAACAATTTAATGCCCACATATTCCAATACTCTATAACAACATGGAAAAGACAAAAAAGGACAGAACGACTGGTATTATTGATGGTACTCTCTGCAGTGTCACTTGTACATCATCGGAAGGTAGACAAAATGTTGATCGCTACATCTCTCACATGTCCTTCGTCCTACAAAACTACATATCTCCCCCACCATGTGCCCTCTAATGTCCTAATCTAAAGATAATGACAAGATTAGCGTTTTTAACGATAATGAAGTTTTTTGTAATATATATTTAGTTTTTATAATATATATTTATACTAACATCAACATATTTACGTTGTCGTTTTCTTCTATTTACACTGTTGTGGTTTTAAAAATCTATTTCAGATCAGTTTTCACTAATTGGATAGATTTTTTTAAGTTTAATGCAAATAAAATATTAAAAAGTTCAATTAGGTTCTTAAAACTGCAACGACTTGATAATAAATAAATTGGAATTATAATGTTGTAACAAAAAAAAATGTTAAATGGAAGAATTAGTAAATCACTCTTGTTTATTTGTTCATTATAATATCCTACTTCTATTCAATTATGTTACGATATTATCTTTTTAATTTATGTTTAAGCATGGTTTGGTTAAAAAACTATCCAATTATTACATTATTATATTCCTTTTTTATTATTATTAGAACGTAGGTACATTTTTCAAAATATAATGTTGCAATAGAAGGAAAGGAAAATAACATGCTAGAATACTAAAAAAAATAACAAAAATAAGTTGTTATTTCTTGGATCTAACTTTAAAAAGAAATAAAAATATGATACCATAACAAATAAATAAAGAAATAAATGATAATTTGCTGTTTCTTGTGTTTACCTTATTGTAAAATGTTGGATGACATTAGCCCTTTCAGAATCTTGATAACATCATATGCTACTTTTAATGGGAATTGTAACAAATGGGTACAAACTAAGACGATAAAGAACCTAAAATAATCATTATTTTCTTTTAAGAAAAAACAATACAAAAAATCAAGATTTACATACAATTAAACAAGTGAATTACACATTTCACGAATGCCAAATTCCCCTGATCATGCTTCGGAATCGATTCGATGATAAATTCCTAACAATCTTTTTAGCATCTAAAACTTGATCCTCCGCAAGTTTTTCAATATTTTTCAAATACCCAGAGCTTAAAATTTTCTTTCTGCCATCATTACAGAAAGTCAATGACATGATTATAGAAAGTAGATTCTTTCTATTACCTGAATTCCCTTCATCCGGATTGACCAATTGTAGAAGAAAGTTCACATTTTGATCATTTTGCACGAATCTTTTTTGGTTTCTAGGCACAACCACCAATCGGAAAAGTGTCTCTGAAGCCATTTCTCGTGCCTCAAACGACTTCGCATCAAGAAATTTCACCATTTCTGGCATGAATCCTGCATCACCCATGGCTTTCTTGAACTCATCGGAAGACCCACATAACCAAAACGCAGCTCTCAAGGCTGATTCTTGGATCGAAACCTCACCGTTTTTAAGAAAATAAAGTAAATGATCGATAAAGTTGTAATTTTTCAAACTGTTTATGTACCCAATTGAATCTGAACATAGGATTATTAAAGCCCTCATGGATTTCTCTCGGGATTTGGATGAATATGAAGATTTTGGATCGAGTATGCGAACAAGAACACGAATCCCACCTTCGTTTACAATCAAACCTCTTATAAATTCGTTCCCAGAAGCCAAAACTTGAATGAAGTCGATGGCACTTATTTGTGAAGCTTCGTTTTTGGACTTAACAAGCTTGATGGACATTGGTATTGCGCCTTCTTCAACAAGAAATCTTTTAATTTCATCAACACCTATGAGATTTCGCAACACCCCACATGCTAAACCTACCAATTCTCCACCAGCAGCATCATCACAACCACTCCCACAAATCTTTAATAATGCAGATGCCCCACCATGAGCGGAAACGGACCATGCGTTATCGGAATTTGCAGTGACTTTCATCAAACACCTGGTGGACAGTTCTTTCCCCAAATCACTTCCAGTCTCCAAAACTCTAATCAATGGGGAAATGACACCGGTTCCTACCAAAACTCTCTTGTATGAATCAAACCCAGAAAGCGTAGCCACCGATTTTAATGCCTCTTCTTGAATTTCGATTTCTTTTGAATTCAGGAACTTCATTAGAACATGAACAAGCCCGTCAATTTCCATTGCGATTTTTACATACCTTTCATCTTCTTGAATGACTTCATTGAAGCTAACCAGAGCTTGTTTCTTCATCTCAATGCGACCAATCTTGAATCTGCATAACAAATCTTTAACATAAAACTGGATGTCATCTCTAGATGCTGTGGGTGGAGGTCTTGAAACGACAATTGCGTAATTACTATTTGATAAAAGCCCCTCTGAATTAATAAATTCAGACAAAGACTTAACGCTACTGTCGAATTTCACAAAAATAATATCAAGATCACTCTGCATTAATAGCTTCCCACTGTAGGAATGTTCGATACATTTCTGAGCCAAATTGATGGAACAATCTGTTGTTTCTTTAATGGACCGTATGATGCCGGAGAGAGTTGGGTGGTTGTCGGCCGAAGCTTGAATTTCCGGAGGGAGAGAGGCGAGGATGGAGAGTATCTCGTCTAGCTTGCTTCTTATCACTTTCCATTTTGATGAGAAGACTTTGGTTGAGTGGGAGAGGACGATTAGAGAAGAGATTTGATCAGTCGCATGCCGGAGTCTTAAATTTCCGGTGTTTGTTCCGGGAAGGTTGGCTTTCTCTTCTACCATGTCGGCGTTGTATTAATTTTGAAATAAACCCATTTTCCGGCTGAGTTTCCGCAGTGATGATTGCCTGGATTCCGGTGACTTGTTGGAGGATTCTGAAGGTGAAGTAATGAGAGCGAGACATAGCCGAAGATCTTATCCGATGTATAGGTAACAGAGGAGGGTAGGATCTAATTTACTGAATTACCCTTTGAGGTTTGTGATAAATTGATACTACTGTAGACAAAGAAAGGTTATTTCGGTAATTTAACATTGGTTATTTCGGTAATTTAACATTAAAGAACAAAATGGTGGGATGGTAAGTTGGGGTTAGTTAGAGTTGTCGCTGATTGTTATGTGATATAAATTTACATTTAAAAGAAATATATATACATAGAAGTCAGTTTAGCATACTTGAACCTATATATATATATATATATATATATATATATATATATATATATATATATATATATATATATATATATATATATATATATATATATATATATAAATATAAAGAGAGAGAGAAATGATCATTTGAAAACTTATAATTTCCTGACAATATGAGAAATAAAAGTGGAGCGTTGGATCAAAAAAATGGATGGTCAAGATGTACACAGAGAGAGAGAGAGAGAGAGGAATGATCATTTGAAAACTTATAATTTCCCGACAATTTGAGAAATAAAAGTGGAACGTTGGATCAAAAAAATGGATGGTCAAGATGTACTGTGACATTTTTGTAAATAAGTGGAAAAAAATAAAGGGACGGGGGCATCAGAATTAAATGGAATCAGGGGCATTTTGGGTTATAGAAATTGACTCATACACATACGTCTTCGATCACCATTCCTTATCAGATCTCTATCTCTCTCTCTCTCTCTCTCTCTCTCTCTCTCTCCACCGTATATCTTCCCCTCGTCTCCATCCTCCCTCAATCGTTCCACCTCTATGTCCGTCGACAATGAACGTTGGCTACCAATCAACAATCTTTCATATCCAGATCATCGGTGAAGAATTTACGAACCTATAGATCGACAATGTTTGTGTTCACCTTCAATTGCAATATTTGAAGCCCTAAATTGCCTGATTCATGATCATCGATTCATCGAGATCGATCAACAATGATCTCTCATGTTTTTGTAAGCTTCAATTTCTCATCATTGATCAGCTCCTGGGATCAAAAAGTCAAGCGTATGACCATGGAAATTCATTTAGGAATGTATCAAAGCACTTGATAACGACCATGACCATATTCCTTTTAGAGGAAGTAAACTCATTGAAGTTCTTCGAGATTCCTTCATTGGAAACTCACAAACTGTTATGATCTCATGCATTTCACCAAATTCTGGATCTTGCGAACACACTCTAAACACATTACGATATGCAGACAGGTGAGAAAATCGATTATTGTTCGTATTTTTCTAAGTGCGTATAAAAAACCTTAATTGATTCGATTTGTGACGAGATTAAGGTTAAGAGACTATCGAAAGGTAACAATTCGAGGAGGGATTTATCGCATTCATCATTTAATCTTTGGAATTCAATCGTGTTGCCTGTATCGCATATTCTTCAACATTTAACCTGTTGCATCAAAATCTTTAAAACAGCATCACCATGCATTCTTCCATTACGTTTTGCTACAAGTTCAGGTATTTTAGCATTGAATGGAAATTGAGTAACTTTTTACGCCTGTTTTCTTTTTCATAGCTCAAACTTGTTTGGTTGCTCTCTTTGCTACATCTAATTAACCAATTGTAACTGGAAATGCATAGATTCCTTTTTTCTTTTTTCGGTAGGGTGATATGTATAGGTGAAGCAAGTATATAAATTTCATCTTGTTGAGGTGACGATATTGTAACGACCCAAAAATCACGACTAAAAATTTCATTTAAAAACATTACTAAAACCATATTTATAAAAACCGCATCATAAATCATAACATAATTTCCGCATATTGATCCAAAACATAATCTTATTATCAGAGTAAACATTCCCAGGCTAACTGACTATGGTGTGTGCACTCCAACCTCTCCGAGCTCCTCTTTTGAAAACTGAGTACCTGAAACCAAAAACTGAAACCTTAAGCACGAAGCTTAGTGAGCTCCCCCATTCTACCACATACCATACAATCAAATCACATACATACTGCCAGGCATTTCTGGGGTGCCCGACCTACCCGATACGACCATTCTGGGGTGCCGACCTACCCGTATGACCATTCTGGGGTGCCATCCTTCCTATGTCAAGCCATTCTAGGGCGTTGACCTACCCATTTCGAGCCATTCTGGGGTGCTGACTACCCTTCGGTCCTAACAACCGAACCTCGGGGACTATTTCACCCCCTACTACTACTACTATCACCTATAACATAACATAAACATATTATCAGACATATCTGGGTGCCTGATCCACCCTTCGGTCCTAACAACCGAACTCAAGGACTATTCCCCTCCTACTACCTCTATCGCATATAACATAACAAGCCAACATGCAAACATATCATTACATACTGTCAGACGTACCTGGGGTATCTGACTACCCTTCGGTCCTAACAAATGAAGTCTACTACTATCACATACAACATATCATGCTAGCATATAACATATCAGGCAGTAGCAAACCTAGATGATATCATAAAGACAATCATCTATCATACGTCTCCTACTGGTGGGCCGACATTGTGACCTTAGACCCACCGGTACTGGAAGGTAACTCACCTGAACTGCTGAGCTCTGCTGATAACCCTCTGGCTACTAACCGAAAACCTTCTGAGCCGCTGCTCCTCTGGCTCTCTGAGCTACCAATATCAAAATGATACTTAGTCTAACAGTCCTCCAAAAGTCAACTAAGTCAACTCCGGTCGAAATCAAAGTCCTGGTCACAGTCAACCTTCCAGGTTGACCCTACTCGCCGAGTTCATAAGCTCAGAAACCCCTTTCATTCGCGACTCGACTCGCCGAGCCAGACCATGACTCGTTGAGTCTACTGATTTCCGAGTTCTGTCCTGTCTAACTCACTGAGTCTTCACCCAACTCACTGATCCAAGTCTTAACTAGAAGGGTTTGGGGTTTCACGACTTGACTCGCCGAGTTCCAAGCAATCTTAACAGACTCAACGATTTGTTCATCCAACTTGTCGTGTCCCTCCTAATCTTCATGCTACTCGCCAAGTCCACTCGAAGGACTCACCGAGTCTATTCAGTCCTTCATATATTCAGAGGCTTTTTGAGTCATGTAGTGACTCCAAACTGTAGATATACTCTTCCAAAGCCTATTCCCACGTAAAGTTGCAACCTTTACGTGCAGCTAAGGAGATCTAGGCTCAAAACACTCCATACTCGGGTTTAAGACAACCATGCTTCACCTACACCCCCAAGACTGATACTTTATGACTCACTAGGCCAGAATAAACTTAGATCTGAAGTAGCAACTTCAGATCTGGAGTTCCAACTCCAATTGGCTCTAGGACATGGCATAAAAGCCCCAAATCTCATGACAAAAAGGAAACTATGAGCAAAGGAGTGAAGATAATGACTCCTCACCTTCAAATGCTCTAAAAAGTCACACCAACACTGGATCTAAGGCTTCCTCTTGCATCATTATGAACTTCCTTCTCTTCCAAGCTTCAAATCACAACACCAAGGCTAGATCTTTGCTCAAAAACGGATATGGTGGCTAGGGTTCGATGTTCTGGATGAGAAGAGGTGTAAAGGAACCCTAAGGAAGAGAATGAGACGTTTAAATAGGCTCCAAGTCCCGGATTTAGGGTTTTCCTCGTTCAGACCAGACTCACCGAGTCCCCTTTGCCGACTCTCCGAGTCGGTTACGTAATTGATCCCCTGGATCTCACTCCGACTTGTTGAGTTCCTCCCTAGACTCGATGAGTTGACCCTTTGACTTAGGTTTTTTTTCCTTTCTTGACCTTTTTGATTTTGGGTGTTACAGATATTGTGTTATTTCAAACACTAATGATATTGGATTTAAACAGTGGCCCCTTTGGAATAATTAAATTCAAATTACTAGTCAATGTATGTAGGAATGATGTTATTCACATTTCACAGTTTTGGTTATGTTTTATGTTTCATTTCCTGTAGCTTCATTGAGAGTTTGTTTTTGGGATAATGTAGAGAATTTAGAGCGGTAACATTTCTATTAGTCAAGAATGGGGAAGTCTCTTGGAAAGTGGATCAAGACTGTGTTTTTTGGGAAGAAGTCATCAAAATTTAATCTCTCAAAAGTAAGAAAAAGGTTACTTTTTGTACATCACTTGTTTGTTCTCTTAGTATGTGATCCTGATAACATCTAATTTTTGCAGGATGCTACTTCAAAAATAACAGTATCCATCACTGGTAAAACACCATCAAACAATTTTGGTGCTGAATCAATGATCATCTCAAGTCCAATGCTCCCTGTAATTGATTCAAGTTATCATAAAGAACTTGAAAAGACCTCAAGTGCTAACTTAATAACCGATTCACGTAAAAATGATTATACAGAACTTGTATAATTGATTGTTGCAATTAAACCCTAGAGTAGATGATGAGTTTGATAAATGATAATGCTAATAGGAGCACAACAACCAAGGTACATGAATATTATTATTATTATTATTATCTTTTTATTTAAAAAAATGTAGAATCTTTACAAACATTCTAATATTTATATTATTTTTTGGACATAAACTAATTATATAGTGCACTAATAATTACCATATGCTTCTTTAGTATTCTATTTTTGAATTTGTGTTGTAGAATTCAGCAAATCTCATATTGTTATAGAAAAAATCACATGTAATTCATATATGGATCACAGGTGATTCACATGTAAATCATAAGTGAATCACATATGAATTACATGAGATTTACATGTAATTCACATGTAAATCACAAGTGATTCACATGTGAATCATACATTCACATTTGAATCACAAGTGAATCACATATATATCACAAGTGATTCACATATAAATCAGAAGTAATTCACATGTAAATCACAAGTAATTCATATATGAATCACATGTAA